GGGGAGGGATGGGCGCCGCGGCTCCCAAGCGCATCGCCGCAGCGGGGGCCAGGCAGAGGAGGGGGGAGCGCCACTGCCAAAGGAGAGGGTCACCGTCGCCGAGAGACAGGCTAAGAATCAGCCAGAGGCGGACCTCCGGGCCTGCCCAGTCTCGACATTACTCCCAAGGGATAGAGAGAAGGATGAGGATGCGGAGGGAGAAGAAGAAGAAGAAGATGATGAGGAAGGATGACGTGTTTAAGAATGTTTTTTGAGGCGGGAGGGGGAGACAGGGAAGGAGTACGAGGAGGCGGCGTCGAGGGATAGGAGGGAAGGGAGGGAAAGGAGGAGGAGGGGGAGGAGGGGGAGGAAGGAAGCCTCCCTGCTCTTCCCCACGTTTTGCCCACCCAACCCATTTCCATCCTTTGCGTGTTCCCCTCCCCGTTATTTGTCTCGGTTTGGGGCGCGACCGATCACTCAGGTGAAAGGGCTGACCTTCCTGACCGATCCCTCGGGGGATGGGGCCTTCCCGGCCCGTGGTAGAACAGGCCTGAGCCACATCGAGCGCCCACGCGGTGGCGCCGATCCAGGCTGCCAAGAACTGGCGGCGAGGCGTGCAGAAGCATGCGCGAAGGATTACGAGAAAACGAGACTCTGGACCCACGATGTCGGCTACTATCTCCTCCTCCCCTCGGTCCTTGAAAGCTTGACGAAAGCTCGTGGAGACGATCGTGATGCCGATTCGGGCAGGCTGGTAACCCAAGACCCTGCGCCACGAACCAGCGGAAGCAATCGTGACGCTGTCATCGGCGGGCCCGCAGCCCAGGCCTAGCGATGCCCCGCTGTATGTCAAGCGAGTGAGACGAGGAGCAGGAGGAGGCGGATGGGCGAGGAAGGAGGGAGGAAGGCAGAAGCCCCCACCTCCTCCTCCTCCTCCTCCTCCTCCTCCTCCTCCTCCTCCTCCTCCTCCTCCTCCTCCTCCTCCTCCTCCTCCTCCTCCTCCTCCTCCTCCTCCTCATTCTCCTGTTAAATACTTGTCCATAAAAATAGCTCCTCCCTGTCGCACCCCGAGGCCAGTCGGAAGGACGGGCTGGGCGTTTCGCATGAGACTTCCTTACCATGTATGATCCTGCAGCTGAAAATGTGGCAACGCTTCACATATGGAGGGTGGGTGGTTTTCAAAATGTGAGCAACGTCCATCCGTTTTCAAACTTTGCACGAGCTTCACGGCTTGAGGGCAGGCCATTTTCAAAATGTGGCTCTCGCCTTAGCGCTGCGCACATTCGTGCAAGAGCTTCACGGAGTGAGAACAGGTATTGTTCAAAATGTGGCTATCGCCTCAACACTGCGCACATCCGACTTAAAAACAAGAGCTTCACGGATTGAGGGCGTTTCCTTGCTTCTAAATGTGGCTCTAGCGTTTGCGCCACGCCCATTGCTTTTAAAACTGTGCAAAAGCTTCACGGGTTGTGGGCGGATCCGTTTCAAGATGTGGCTCTCGCCTTAGCGCCGCGCGCATTCGTTTCAAAAAACTGCAAAGAGCTCACAGACTCTCATAATTCATGTGTTGGAAAGATTGAGGACAATCAGGGCGCAATAGTTACGATGATCCGCGGTGTTGAAGTCCCAGGCATGGTGTTCTGGCACGACGCGACAAGCAAGCTGATTCGTGGCGTTGAAATCCCGAGAATGGTGTTTTGGCGCGCTTGAGTATTTTCACACGGTTGTCTCCCAACGGGGCACTTCCCTCAGTGGAAGTGAATTCTTGTATGAGGCCGATGAAAAGGGAGCTTGGAGGGTTGATTCCAACATCGTTGATGAGTCCTGGGTTTGTACCGGTCCTCCTCCGCCTCCTCCTCCTCTTCCTCCTCCTCCATTCCACTACTCCCCATCCTCGTCCAACGCATCAGTCGCTGACCCATGACCTATTCAATCCCGAGTGACCCTATGTGCAACACCAAACCAATCACCTGCTTTCCAGAAAGGATCGATACTCCGCGCGCGGTCGCGCGATCAGCAGAAAAGGGCGAACATCGTCAGACACGATCGACGATCGCCTAATCACCTGATCGGCAGACAAGGTGAAGTCGCCAGGCATCACCAACGATTGACTAGCCACCTGACCGTCATACAAAGTAGACGAGTGAGACAAGATCACAGCATCGTAAGACGAGGTCGGTGATCGGGCGCGAGAGAGAAGCGAAAGGTGAAGAGTGGCAGAACGAAAGTTACGCACAGGCTCAGGCAACTCTGCATTGTCACTGGCATCCACACGGGTTGAGAAGATACCGATACTTACTCGCACTCGCTGGCATCTTAAACCATAATGTGTCATCTCGAGAACATTCGGCAACAGAGCCTTACGCACTGACCCACTGGAGAAACCAACGACGAACAAAGCAAGCAGGGCCACGGAGAAACCACCAACGACCCATCCCTTCGGATCACGAACACAACCACGCCACGTGGAATTACAGATAATGCACGCTCGGAGCAAGCGTCCCGCAGGAAAGCAGCAGGCTGGTACAAAGCGGGAGCATGGAATGCAAGAAGAGAACAGCGAAAGAGGTGAACCCGTGAGATCCGCCGGCCCCCTTGTGGGCCCACCAGGCTGTAGGACCAGGGTTTGCTGTTCCCTGCACCAGTTCCAGTTGCCAGCTTCCACTGTTACAATTCTGCTTTATGCTGCTTATTTATGCTGCTTACTGTTCCTTGTTGTAGACCGCGCGAGGGGGGGGAGCCGAAAAGAACTCTGGTTAGCACCTCCTGGGATGGTTCTCAGAATTTCTGGGGGGGTCGACATTGACACCCCTCACGCAGATCGGCGGGGTCAGGGTCCAAAAAAACATGGGATTTGCTACATTTCTGAAATTCGGCGGCACCCCTCACGCAGATCGGCGGGGTCAGGGTCGACAAATCAATGGATTTGCCACATGTCTGACATTCGGCGGCACCTCTCACGCAGATCGCGGGGGTCAGAATCCAAAAACCCATGAGATTTGCCACATTTCTAAATTCGGTGGCACCCCTGACGCAGATCGGCCGGGTCAGGGTCGAAAAACCCATGAGATTTGCCACATTTCTAGAATCCGGTCACCCCCCACGCAAATCGCCGGCGCCAGGGTCGAAAAACTAATGGGATTTGCCATATTTCAAAAATTTGGCTGCACCCCTCACGCAGATCGGCGAGGTCAGGGTCCAAAAACACATTGGATTTGACACATGTTTGAAATTCGGCGGCACCCATCACGCAGATCGCTGTGATCAAGGTCGAAAAACACATGGGATTTGCCACATGTCTTACACTTCGGTGGCCTCCCTCACGCAGATCGGCGGGGTCAGGGCCCAGAAACACAAGGCCTTTGCCACATTTCTGAAATTCGGTGGCACTCCTTATGCAGATCGGCGGGGTAAGGGTCAAAAACACATGGGATTTGCCACATGTATTGAATTCGGTGGTCGGTGGCACCCCTCACGCAGATCGGTGGGGTCAGGGTCAAAAAACATCTGGGATTTTCAACATTTCAATACTTCATAGAAAAGCTTTTTGCACGGCATGCGCGAGCAAGCTCGAAATGCAACAACGAGTTCAACAATATCATCAGAATCTCAGTTTGTCTTGCCGATTATTCATCGAATTCGCGTGAAGTCCCGACGCTGCTTCACGGCGGCGCCAAAGCCTCATGATTTCGCTCTTGCGTTGCCCATTATCCGAGAGAGGGGGCCAGCGGCAGGGGGCGAAGCCCTTACGCATAATACAACCCGACATCCCCTCTACTTCTGCCCAATCACATTCGCACACTGTGCCCTCCGAGGTTACAAGATCAAGGTCGGCCCAGGTTAAGGGCACCAAAAGAAAGCATAGGAAGACCCAAAGCTCCGCCCGCCTGAGCAGCAGTCTTGTTGCCACGCCTGTGGGTCCACAAATCGCGGATTGGCAGACATATAACCGGTTGAATGGACAAGTGTTCTCTTTCAGCAGAAATGTCGCGCGCTCCTGCCAGCATTTGCCGCCCACTGGGCCAACTGCATATCATTGAATCGGAAGGGCGCAGTGCTTCCTGCCTGTCTGCTCTGTGTTCACTATTCCCCTTGCAAAGCAAGGCAATGCCACACAGTGCAAAGCGAAGCCATGGAACGCAAAACAAATACAGCAATGCAAGGCAATGAAAGGCAATACAAAGAAAACCGATGCTATGCAAAAGAGAATAAGTCCAGAGCGCTGAAGTTCAAAGCAGTGTAAAGCAAAAAATAATCAATGCAAAGCAATGAAGCAGTGATAAGACCCAGAGCAGTGTAATTCAACGCGGAGCAGCTTAAAACAGTGCAACGCAATGCCGATCAAAGCGAAGCAACACAACGAAGCGCAACGCAGCGCAATTCAAAGCAACACAAACAATGGTACCGATGCAATGCGAGCACCCCCCCGAAGACCCCCAGCAGCCCCGAGCAACCCCAGCGAACGCCCCCGAGCATCCACCCAGGACGTGACCGGATCGAGCACCACAAGCCCTCCTGCACTGAAGGAACTGGATGGAGTCCTGGGCAAAGCCTAATTCAGAAATACAATAAATAATCCTTGACCGACCGCGCGACGACGGCCCCGGGACGCCCACCTGCCTTTTGGCCTCGCGGCCACGCGTGCGGCGGCGGCGCGCAGGTCAAGTCACTGCGAGCGCTCGCGGGCCGGGCCAGCTCACGCATCATGGAGAAGCTGAATCCGCCGATAGGGGATGAGCAGCAACACTCGCAAGGGGGCATTCGCGAGGGCGCCCACCTGCACAGGCATGGATCTCAAGGGCACCCAGGGTTCCGAAGGGTCTGCGACTTCCCTGAGGTCGCCCCAAAACGCTCCTGCGGCGACCCAAGACGTGCCCAAGACAGCCCGAGACCAGTCCAAGATGCCTTCAAGCCCCCAGGCGATGGCCTGAAGGCCCCCCTGAGACCTTTCCGACGATTCCAATGATTCAAGCTGCCTGACGACAAGCGCCGAACTGACCTCCAATATATGCCCGGCGAGTCCGATCGACCGACGACCCACGACCGACGACGACGGACGACAGGCGACCGACGACGACCGCCGATCCAGGACGACGACGACGACGACGACGACGACGACGACGACGACGACGACGACGACGACGACGACTGACGCCGACGCCGACAACGACGACAGCGACGACGATGACGGGCGGCACACAGATGGATGCCTCAGCAGGTCTCCAGATCCCCCCAGAGGTCCAAGGAGAACCCCAGAGGCCTCTGGAGGCCTCCTGAGGCCTGGAAGCACCCGGTTGCCCACAAGAGGCCAGAGAAGGTTCCAAAACATGATCGATCAACAGACCCGGAAAGAGCTCCGCCGACCCTGTCAGCGCGCACGAGAGGCTGTTCCGTTTGACGTCGTCGCTGTCGTCGTCGTCGCCGCTACCCCCTTTTCTCTGGGCCCTCCTCCTTAAGCGCGCCAGCCAAAGCGAAACAGCCTAAGCGAAATTGAGCAACGCCGTAGTTGAGGCAAGTGGAAGACCCTTCTCTTTGATCCCTTCCCTACCAGGGGCAAGCGTCCCGGGCGGGTCCTGAGGGGAGCATGGAGGGGGTCCCGGAGAGGGTCGCGGGTCAGAGTATCATCCCCCTGGGGGTCCCGGGGCTCAAGAGGCCCCCCAGAAGCCCCCTCGAGGCCCCCAGGCGCCCCCAAGGAACCGCCAGAAGCCCCAGGAGGCTTTCAAAAGGCTCCCCAGATACCCCTAAAACTTCGTTGGAGTTCTTGGGCACCTCTTGGGGGCCTTGTGTAGTCTCTTGGGCACTCATGGGAGCGTCTGGTCCCTACCTTCCCGAATGCCTCTTCCATCGTGGGGGTCGTCGTCCAGGGTCGGCGGCACTGGCCGTAACTCCTTCAGCACATAGAACTGCCCTAATTTGGGCAATAGGCAGTGGCTGTGCTGAGCCATGGTGATGATAGTGTGCCACGGGCTGTGCTGCGCTGCGCTGTGCCATGCTGTGCCATGCTGTGCCGTGCTGTGCTGACATGTACCGTTTCATACTGTGTTGAACTGTGCTGTACACTAGAGCTATCTGGCTCCAGTCGTCCTTCGCGTCGATATCTCGACTGAACTGATATGGATCTCTGGGTCGAGATGCCTGTACGCATTGCTCATCCGGAGCTAGTTTTGGTCAAAACGTGCGTGCGGGACGCTCACCCAGCTCGAGCACTAGATTCGACTCAGCTCCGAAACCGGGCGAACGGACAGGGGGCGCAGGGCGCAGGGACGCGCCACTGGATGTGCTTGGCGCGCAACAGGGGATACACCAGTCGGCGGCGAGCGAGGGGGCAAGTGAAAAGGAGAAGGTACTCTCAAAAGGCGGCGAACTTCTCAGAAGGCCTCTGGCCTTCTGATCTGAAATGTTTTATGATGTTTTCTGTCTCCGGGGAAGGCTTAGAAAACTTCTCGAATGGCCAGGGGATTTCCGAGCCTTCTGAGAAGGCCCGCCCCTCCTCACTTACCCCCCGGGCTCGCTGCCGAACCAGGGGGCGCGCCAAGGGACGCATCAAAGAACGCGCCATGGACGTGTCAGGGACCTGCCACGAAACGTGCCGAGGGACGTGGCAGGGCGCGCGCCAGGGACGTCACGTCGAGGGACATCCTAGGGGGACGCGACAGGGGACGTTACAAGGGACGCGCGCGCTGGGGCCACGAAAAGCAGGAAGGATAATCGCCCGAGGACGAGCTGCGGAGCGCCACAGAGGAGGAGACACGACACGTGCCACGGGGCGCGCGCCCCTGGACGTGCCAGCAAACGCGTTGGCGGAAGCGCAAGGGGACGTGCCGAGGATGGCGCCGGGAGACACAGCAGGGGACGTGCCAAGAGGCGCGACCGGGGCTGCGCCACGGAACGTGTCAGGGGACGCGCCGCAGACGTGCCAGGGGGCGCGCACGCCAGGGGACGTGCCAGGGGACGCGCTAGGGGACGCACCACAGAACGCGACAGTGGGCGAGCCAGGGGACGACCAACCCTGCTCTGCATGTCTTCTGCTCTGGATCCGCGCTCCCAGGGCCACGGTCAAACGTAAATTTCACTGGAACAGCGCCCTCACCGCAAAAAACACATGTGACTTACACTGGATGGGCGGGCACTCCCAGAGCCACGATCCCTCATAAATCCCACCAGCCCTTTAGGGCGTGAGTGGTTTAAGGAATCTTTGTGTTGCATATTCCCTCTTCCACTTCGGGGAGGGGTTACGGGGTTACCCCTCCCCCAATCACCCCCCCGTGGGTCTGGACGGGACTTTCGCGAGATGTCAGAAGGTCGTTTTATTGGCCTTGATCAGAAGGCTAAAACCCTCGCTTGTACTACAGGTTTGGCTACATGCGGCCTTCTGGGGGGTGAATCACAAATCCTGGCGCTCGCAGTCGCCTCGAACGGCCCTGGGGGGTGGGGGGCTCCCCCAGGCGCGGAGGGTGTGGACCCGACCCATCTGCCCCCGCAGCGCGCGGCCGCCCCGAGGCCAAGCGGGCAGACGCCGGT